TGATTTCGTAAGTCAATCCACAATCACCCAAATCGAGTCGAACTTGCGAGGAGTGTGAGGTAGTCCTACCACAAATCCCATGTTGATCATCTCCCATTTCCACATCGGAATTTCATGTTATGTGCTAACTCACCGGACCTTTGGTGTTCGGCCTTCACTTGGTGACAATTTGGACATCTTTCGACAAAGTCCGCAACATTCCTCTTCATACCATTCCACCAATAGACTTCCTTAAGATCATGATACATCTTAGTAGAGCCCGGGTGCACGGAATACCTAGAAGTGTGAGCCTCGGTCATGATTCTTTCATGGAGACCATCTACATTTGGAACACATAGTCGTCCTTGATACCTTAGTGTACCATCATCTCTGCCAAGAGAAAATGCCATGGTCTTATGTTTATGAATACCCTCCTTCAACAGTACCAACAATGGATCGTTGTATTGCTTCTCCTTGACTTATTCAGTCCTATTTTGCTCAATCACCCCTCCTTCACCAGATTCCGCAAGACGAACTCCCAAACTAGCTAGCCGATGAACATCCTTGGCCAACGGCCTTTAACATGCCTCCAAGCGAGCCAAACTACCCATAGATTTCCGGCTAAGAGCATCCTCCACAACATTAGCCTTCCCCGGATGATATAGGATATCGATGTCGTATTCCTTGAGCAACTCAAGCCATCTTCTCTGCCTCAAATTCAATTCCTTCCCGTTTGAAAATATATTGAAGGCTTTTATGGTCCGTGAATATATCCACATGGACCCCATACAAATAATGATGCCAAATCTTCAATGCAAACACCACCACCGCAAGCTCTAAGTCATGTGTTGGATAGTTCTTTTCATGATTCATGAGTTGCCTAGAAGCATAAGATATCACCTTGCCATGTTGCATTAATACACACCCAAGTCCAATCCTTGAAGCATCGCAATATACCACCAACCCATTTGTACCCTATGGTAGGGTCAACACCGGTGTCATCGTCAATCTTGATTTCAACTCCCTAGAAGCTTCTTTCACAAGCATCTGACCATTAGAACTTAACCTCCTTCTGCTCAATTTAGTCAACGGAGAGGCAAGAGTAAAGAACCCTTCCACAAACTTCCTGTAATATCCTGCTAAGCCCAAAAAACTATGAATCTCTATTGGGGTAGTAGGTCTAGGCCAATTCTTCACAGCTGCAATCTTCTGAGGATCAACCTCAATTCCTTCTCTGGAGACGACATGACCCAAGAACGTGACAGATTCAAGCTAAAATTCAAATTTTGAAAACTTCACATACAACTTGTGCTGATATAGAGTCTGTAGAACTGCCGTGAGATGACCAGCATGGTCCTCTCGACTTCGCAAATATACAAGGATATCGTCAATAAACATTATCACGAATGAGTCAAGAAAAGACTTGAAGACTCAATTCATAAGATCCATAAAAGTTGCTGGGGCATTTGTTAGCCCAAAAGACATTACCAGAAATTCAAAGTGCACATACCAAGTCCTGAAAGCCATTTTCGGAATATCCTACTCCATGATCTTCAATTGGTGATACCCGGATCTTAAATCAATCTTGGAGAAGTACTTATCACCCTGCAACTTGTCAAACAAGTCATTTATCCTTGGTAGTAGGTACTTATTCTTGATCGTGACTTTGTTGAGCTACCGATAGTTGATACACATTCTCAGTGACCTATCCTTCTTTCTCACAAAGAGGACCGGTGCGCCCCAAGGCGACATAATCGGCTGAACGAAACCTTTCTCTAATAAATCCTTCAATTGTTCCTTTAGCTACTTCAATTCTACTGGTGCTATTCTGTAGGGTGGAATAGATATAGAATGCATGCCCGGCATCACATCAATCCCAAAATCAATCTCCCTGTCTGGCAGGATCCCGGAGAGCTCGTCCGGAAAGACCTCCGAAAATTCATTCACAACTGGTACAGACTCAAGTGTGGGTACCTCAGGGTCGGTGTCCGTAACCTGGACCAAATGGTAAATACACCCCTTGTTGTTCCTCTCGGTGGCCTTAAGGTAATAAATAAACCTATCCTTCGGCACCTCATCATCCCCCTTCCATTCAATAACTATCTCATTTGGAAATTCAAACCTAACAGTCCTAGTTCGGCAATCAAGCTTGGCAAAACATGAATAAAGTCAGTCCATCCCCATTATTACATCAAAATCAACCATCCCCAATTCAATGAGATAATCCATGGTGTCGCGACCACGCACTGTGACAACACAATCCCAATAAACCTACGCAGCCACAAAAGACTCACCAAATGGAGTAGATACAGAGAATGGCTCATGAAGTTGTTCCGGTTCTATCCCAAACTTCATAGCAACATAAGGAGTAACATATGACAAAGTGGAACCGGGATCAATAAGGGCATATACATCATGAGATTGGACAGTCAATATACATGTGACAACATCTGGAGAAGCCTCTGATCTCTAGCAACCCCTCATAGCATAGAAACGGTTGGTTCCTCCCGAACTCTGCTCACCACCCCTAGCTACACCATGCCCTACGGGTGCGAGAGTGCCTCGAGCTGGAGGAGGTGTTGCAGATGTAGTAGTTGCAGAACTGGCGGGCTGTGCCGCTCCTCTGCCCCTACTCTGGTGGGGCGAACGGCAATCTCTCTGAATGTGACCCCTCATACCACACCCGTAGGATATGGTCTGATCCATAAAGCAGGCTCCAAAGTGCATCTTCCTACACCTAGAGCATGGGGGCCTCTACTGCTACTGGAATCTCTGTCCAGGCAGACCCTACTGGTAAGATCCCCTGTTACCCTGGCTGGGCCTCAAACGGCTCCACTAATGCTGACTGGGCCCTGATGGATGTGCACTAACTGAAGACTGAGCAAAGGACTGGGATGGCCTTGATGACCCTCCCCTGAATGATGTCCTATCACCACCACCACCAGGAGAACCACCAAAGTTTCCCACTAACCGGGCCTTATTTCTACCCTCTCGCCCCATTTTGTTCTTCAATTTGCGAGTCTATGTGGCTTGAGCAAATGCCACCATCTTACCATAGTTCATATCAGAATTCAAGGCAGCTGTAGCGGCCTCATTAATAACCAAGGAGCTAAGGCCCTGCACAAACCGACGCCCTCTAGCCTCCATAGTGGGCAACATGTAGATGGCATATTTGGACAGGCGCGCGAATCTCATATGATACTCCCACACACTCATGCTACCTTGTTTAAGGCTCTCAAACTCGGTGACACGGACTGCCTTAGTCTCGGCAGGCAAGAAATGATCAATGAAAGCATCGGCAAATGCACTCTACCTCACCGAAGGGCTCCCCTCCTCACGGGAGTCCTCCCATATCTCAACCCAAGAATAGGCCACCCCTTTCAGGCGGTAGAAGGCCAACTCTACTCCCTCCGTCTCAGTAGCACGCATAACTCGGCGGGTCTTGTGCATCTCATCAATAAAGTCCTGGGTGTCCTCCTCAGGATCAGTACCTGTGAACACTGTAGGATCCAACTGGAGAAAGCTGTTCACCCTGGAACTAGCAGAATCCCCTGGCTGACTAGAAAAAGTGGGTGCAACATTTGATCTTTGGGCCTGGGAAGCCACTATTTGAGCCAACATATGTATGGCTCCCCTAAGATCCCTATCAGATACACCGGGACAGAAAGTTGGGGCTGGAGGTGGAACTGGGATATTAGTTGGAGGGATCGTTGCACCCTCAGTAGGTGTAAGGACGGGTGCAGTCTGACCAGGAGTAGTAGAATCAGGCAGTGTAGTAGTCAGGGAAATATTCTCACCCCTCGGGCGCTCGCCCACATCATCAAGTAAGGAATCCACTGTCACTCCTGGGGTGGCATTAGCTCCTTGGCCAGTTCTTGCTTTCTTCCTAGGTGCCGTGTACTGAAAATTAGAGCAATGCATGAGTTAGAGGAGGAACAGTCTTACAATCAGCTCTACCGCACGATCTAGAACATCAAAGAAGGGTGTTATTCCTAAATGCCCAAATAGCCTCCTACTTATAGATGTGGTCGACAATACACCGATAAGAAGGACTCTACTAGGTACAGCTCCGAGACATCCTAGGACACTTTAAAACCTTAGGCTCTGATACAAAGCTTTTCACGCCTCGACCTCAAGGAGCGCGACCGGTGCTCTACCGATATACCCCGGTCGAGCAAGCCTGCACAATGTCATCTACCCGACTCACCCAAGAACAAAGAGAAGGCGCATCTCATTAATCAGACAATAAGAAGGTCACATGAACAACACCATATCATTACCATTGGTTACTTCATTTATAAGTCTCAAAATACATTACACATTCATAGTCTGAAGTGGAACATGTGATACAAATACAACATTTTTAGTTTGACTTTCCCAACACCAATATACAACCCATACCATGTCTACGGAGCCTCTAACAGAACCAAAGAGTGTTATGACAGTGTCGGTGACAAGGCCCCGACTATACCTTAAAATGCTATGTACAAAGGACAAAAGATGTAGGACCCCGAAATTAAGTGGGGCTCACCAAGTCAGTTGAGGAGAGGGTGTACTGCTATCATTGCTTAATGTCGCCCACTATAGAACTACCTGCATCCACTAAAGATGCAGCGCCCCCGGCAAAAGGGACATTAGTACATATGGAATAGTACTAGTATGAAAACTAAACACCCCCTTAATAGAACGAGTAACAGTACAATGATAAAGAAATATGAAATCAATGAGGGCCTCATAAAGAAATATGAATGACGTCCTTGGCAGGTAAAGGTTTATCAAAACTTGTTGTTAATGCTGCAATAGCTGCTGATCTGGGTGTCAATTTTGCTGAATCTGGAGTCACAGATTTTGGATAAAGCATTCTCACCATTGGTGGAGGCGTAGATAGATTTCTAGCATTTGGGTTCTCAAAAGTAGCTTCCAGTACGTTAAAAGCATGAGATCTGCCCCTAACACGAACTCGGTCAGGGCTGAAAGATACGCTCCTCGATCGCTGTGACTTCTTAGGGGCAGCAGACCTTCCACCATATGAGACAGGTGTTCTCCTTTTAGGTTTCTGATAAAGCAATGCATGCAAAGTTAGAAAAATCAGCACGAAGATAGAGGAGTCATTACATGAAGGTCAACAACAACTTAAAGAACTCACCCAAAATCTATACGGGTAAGAAACAAGACACCAAAATCACATGGAAGCGCCTAAGAGAAAGATAATTCTATTTCCAGAAATATATGTATATAAAGGATAAAAGCCATCTCTTCAAGCAGACTTTGAAATAAAGTTTGTATTCTATAAGTCGTATCTTATAAGAATGATAAAATATCTTTGACTTTTGCAATCCCAACAACAAATTTGAAAGGATAAACCAACGAACAAAGTGTCATATTGAACGAACAAAGTGCCAGATGGTAAAAGAAGAAAATAAAACAAACATGGACAATCAAACGTATAGTAATCCATTACCTCTGTAGTTCCAGGAAAGGAAAGACAGAAAGTACATATAGGAAGAAACTTACATCCATTGGTAGAGGGCCCCCATTCTTCACTAGTGTGAGCTTTCTTTGGAATGAGTTCCCATGCATCTTCCAAGTGTTCTCTATTAGCAAAAATTAGTGTCAGAAATCATATGCAAACATCATGAAGCCACTTACAGCAGATTTAATGGAGTCCCAACTGAAATGACGAGTGAAGAAAGGCGGTTCACTCCCTTCCATAACAATATATATTGGAGCATGGTGAGATAGTTTCTCCGTAAGAAAATCATATTCCAGGAATTTCTGATGGAATTGATCAAAGATAATGTCATATTAGAAAATAAAATTAACAAACCATGAGATCACAAATTCAATTTTGGTTTTGTTAAACTGTGCAGCTATAAACTTTATGCTTTAGCACTTCATAAACTATGCAAAACTAGTGTTTAGGTTTCTGAAGAATTGTTATCTTATACTTCCCAGGGAAACGGCATTATCCAGCTAATCTTGTATTCACTGAGGAATTCAAGAAAAAGAAGACTACATGTCTTAAAAGATTGGAACTTGGGTGCTGAGGCAAGAGGGAGTCCCCAAAAGTAAGAGATAATTAACTCTTTTGGTGTAGAAAGAAAGCATAGATGAAGAATGCTGGCGATGATGGGGGTTTTGTGAGTTATTTAGTGAATCACTCTGCTGTTTAAATGTCAAGGAATTTCAGTAACAAGGGTTAGCTATCAAAAAAAAAAAGAAAACCTATTCTTGAACATGGGTTACATGTTCTAAACGAAATAGCTAAGCATGTAACTTCACTTTATACATCCCTATCAAGGAGAATGGAAAGGGGTTCATTCTTAATATTTAAAAATATAAAATCTGACCCTATATATGAGAAAAATGCCTATAGCAACTACTCAATTGAACGAGTAACAGTACAATGATAAAGAAATATGAAATTAACGAGGGCCTCATCAATATTAATGCTAGAACTCGCAAATGCGTGACTCGCATTTGCGAACTTACACTTGCACATACGAGGTCTGCAGCACCATCAAATTCCCAGCCTTACCAAAACAGTCTGAAACTCATCCAAAATTCACCCGAGCCCCTCGTTCTCACGACCCAAAACCCCACAAAGTTGTGATGGAATCTAACCCGACCCGCTAGGTAAGCCAAACAGAATAAGTTACAACTATAACGAGAAATCATAAAGTTTAACAATAAAAACTGCAAAGAATTCAGTACAACTATCCTAACTACTGGTAGTACAAGCCATGATCGATGAAGATTAGATTACAATGCGGTTATGAAGAATGTTTACAACATCTGTTCGAAATTTGCATAAACAGAAATGAAATCCTAAAACTACCATGAATAAAAGATAGCTTGAATCTAAAACGCTAGTACATCTCCAATGCAAAGCTTCGTCTTCCACAGCTACTTAGCTCCAAAATTTGCACGCAAGGTGCAAAAGTGTAGTATGACTACAACCGATCCTGTTTACTTAGTAAGTATCTTGACTAACCTTAGAGAAGTAGTGACGAGGTTTTTAAGCCCAAAAGATACTCACATAACATGTGCAGCTCAATAACATATATAAGATAGTGTAGAATCCAAGGAATGCAGTCACAGAATAACGGATATCAAAAGTAAGAGTGCACAACTGGGATAAGGATAAACAACCAATTTTGCCAATTACACAGATCATGAAATCACAACCTATATCAACTCCGCACAATAAGAGACTTGCCCCAAATAGCATGTACTCAAATGCTCAAACGTAACAATTGGGTGTCGGTGCATAACAATGTTCAATTCTATATTAATTTCCAAACAATGTGCTCATGAGAACTTTACAAGAATCCAATATATCAAGGCATGATGACAACTTCCTTTTTACATCAATCCACTATGCTACCAGCAACTCAACAATTCTTGAGAAATCAACTCAACATAGGTAATTCCATCTTTACAAACAAATCATCAAATAACAACAGAGGCGTAGATTAGCATGTTAGATGCAATGTAAAAACGTGTAAAATACATAACAAAGAATAAAGAATTCACTTGTATAATCACGATAACACCCATCTTTGACAACAAGTCATCAAATAAAAATACAAACATATGACACCTTGTGCCCACATTTTTTCCACAATAACAATATCCACCCTTTTCACTCCGCACCTGACACAATAGCAATATCCACCCTTATCGTTCGGCCGTGACACAATATCAATATCTACCCTTATCGCTCCATTCTGAAATAATAGCAATATCCACCCTTATCGCCCTGCAGCTGCACAATAGTAATATCTACCTGTATCGCTTCGCACCCGACAATATGACAATATCAATCATAATCGCATGGCAAACACCTCGTACCATTACTCCAATCAATCAGCCCAACATGTCTACATGTGCCATAATCACAATAATACAAGATAATAAATTATCATCAAGAGGCATACCCTTATAATTCATCAATAAAGTGCACAAAGACATGATAACAATAAAATACGGATGGGGTTCAGCATATAAAACATGACTACGGCTATTGAACAATGATTCCAGAAGTGCCCATCTTGTCCAAAAGGAAGTAATGATCCTAAAACGTGATCTCTAGCATGGAAAGATAACCCACATAGTCACACCAAGGATGACACATGTATCACATAGAGCACACGGTCAGATCAAGGCACAACACAAGAATAACAAGTACGGTGTGTGTTCATAACATACATGTGACTACATCCGAGACAAGTATAGCATCAATCTTAATATCAGTTCATCATGTACAAACTAAGGCACCAATGGCCTGTACATTAGCTCTAATATGGTTTATTGTGTTCACGTAGTCAATTAATTGAATAACTCATAGAATGAAGTAGAACACACAACCAAATAAGGCATAAAGTAATCTAGAATTCATCCTGAGCATGAATACCCATGGCACATGTATATACGCTCATCACTTCATATATACATCACCCCCCGCATGTAGGAAACAATACCAATTATAAGGAAAATTTTCCTCAACCAAAGCTAGGCAAGACACTTACCCCATCCGTCTATTCCTGAACTCCAAAATCGCATTTCCTTGAGAAAACAAAACTAACCGGCTCAAATCTAGCCAAACATCAGTCAAAGAAGTCAACTAATGCCAAAGAAAGTAGTCCCAATCAATAAATCCTCGATCTTTGAAGAATTTTTTATATGTCAACTTCGAGCTTACGTGCTCAAAACATGTAACCAATACCAAAATCCGATGACCCATAACATGTTGAGTGAAAATATATGATTAGATTCCAAAATCGAGTCTATATAGGTACCCAAATCCCCAAAACACACTCTCGTAAAATGTTGTCAAAAACCCCAAATTTTATTTTCAAAATTCCATACATTACGTGTAAAAATTCATGGGTAATCAATATATAAAATCAAGTCCAAGTGGAAATTACTTACCTCCCTTCAACATCTCCTCCTCTCAAAGTCTAGGGCTCAAAATATGAAATAATGAGCTCAAAATCCCGAAATAACATCTTATGAAATCTACGTAGGGGTGCCCTTCTAAATCGCGACAGGGCCCCAACGATCAAGAAGCACAAATGTGACCACCTTACTGACCCTTCTTTGTGAACGAGATGCTTAAGATGAGAACGCGATGATCAATATTACAAAGCTTCGCAAACGCGTGTTACCATGCGAGCGTGTTGAACAAAGTTCCAGCACCCAAACTCACCCTCTACGCGAACGCATTCTGTCTTTCGCAAACCCGTTTTCCAGCTGCCAACACTTTGCGAACGCATTGCTTCCAATGAGATCGCACAACACTAAGCCCTCAGCTCCCCAACAACACTACGCAAATGCAATGAGACCTTTGCGATCGCGAAGAACATCTGACACACCAGAAACCAGCAACCCCAAACATCACCAAAATGGTCTGAAATCATCCAAAGTCACACCCGAGGCCCCTAGGACACCGTCCAATCATACCAACAAGTATAAATACATTATCCAAACGTATCCATAAGAGTGAAACATCATAAATAACATCAAACTAAGAATCGAAGATCAATATAATTCTCTTAACTTTCAAACCTTTAAACTTCGCCGAACGCGTCTGAATCATATTTAAAGATTCTGGATAACAACCAAACTTTGTACATAAGTTCCAATAAACTAAATGAACTTATGCAAGGCCTAAAAACCACAATAGGAGCCCGATAACATCAAAGTCAATTTCCGGTCAAACCTAAGAACTCTTCAATTCTTCAAATTGCCAACTTCCAACAAATAGAGCCAAAACCTTCTAGGAACGTCAAAATTCAAATTTGATCATACGCCCAAGTCAAAAATCAGCATACGAATCTATTAAAGCCATAAAATCCAGGTTCTGAAGTCATTTACTTAAAAGTCAAACCTTGGACAATTCTTCCAACTTAAAGCTTCTAGATTGAGATTTTCTCTTCCAAATCAATCTCGAACATCCTAAAGATCAAAACCAATTATGCACGCAAGTCGTAATACATCATATGAATCTGTTCATGACCTCAAACCACCGAACAAAATACCAATGCTCAAAATTATCAGTTGGGTCATTACATTCTCACCCACTTAAACATACGTTCGTCCTCGAACGTGCCAAGAGTCTCTCCAAAGCCATCAAATCATTGTATAAGCTTTCCATACACATACCCATAGATGATCTCAAGCCACCTCAATCCATATAATTCTATACACAATCCGATTTAAGATTCTTCATTCGACTTTAGTCTACAAGCCTTAGAACTAAATTCCAACATTCGAAATTCTCTATAAGTTCTGATCCTTGTACATGTGTATTGTACTTGTCTCCACAAGTCATATCAAAGTCATAAACATAACCCCAAGATGTAACCATGCGTCGTGCTGTATATCCCATGTACTCATAGTGATAACTTCCGACCACAATAGCGGCTCATTACCAAACCTAGTATTGGTAATATACCTCATATCAAATAAATCCTCGTTCCAAACCTTCGTAGAACTACAATTAAGAAAGAAACATGTAGAAACTCATAACCAATCTTTAGATCCAAAAGTTGTGGTGTTATCTCGCACGACAAAAACCATTGCAAAATTTTGAGCTAACTAATGACATTATTCTTCCAAACATGCCTTATCCCAATCTGATTGCACAATTCCCAGGTCCAATAATCTCATCAATGCCATTACAAGATGCTCGACTAATAGGCCACTCCAAATGCTACCTAGAGCCATACGAC